TGTGGTAGGATGTTTCAGGGTTATTACTTTCCATGGGACCTTGATATGTTCCCCATTCTATCCCCTTTCAGCTGCACTACTGATCTGAGTTCAGACCCCCAATTTCAAATAGAAGTGCCCTTAACTTTTTTCCACTTTGTAAACTCATAATTTGGCAGCTCCAGCTCCAATCACCTAGAACTTCCCAGTAGTTTTTGTTACAGTCTTATTCCTGGGCCTGGACTCATAGTTTGGGCACCCATTAATCCAGGGAAAAGTAAAGTGTAAGTGGGGCATTTGGTTCTCAGTATTCAGAAAGCAAGTACAGAGAGCTGAAAGATGGTGGAGTAGATTTAAGCAGCAGCCCTCAATTTTTCCAAAGCCCAGAAATAAAGCAGTGAAAGAACAGCTGACCAGAGAGGTGGGTGACAGAATAAATACTTTTAAAACTCAATATCAGACAGCTTGAAACTTGGAGGGACTTGGAACATGGTTACTTGAGCAAAAAATAAGGATGAAATTCCTTGATCCTGAATTCTGATCAGAATAAGGTTGGGTCAGGGGTAACAAAGAGAGAAAGAGGGATAAGAAGAGCCTATAAGCTTTCTTCTTTAACAACAGTTGGAAATAAAAGCAGAACATGTTAAAATAAGACAAGAACAGCAAAAACAGTGGAGGAGACGACATAGTTTAGCCCAAAGTGTGGGCAGAAAGCTGTGCTGGAAAGATAGCCATTTTGTAGCATCCATAGCTAGAAAGCCTCCCTAGGAAAAATTAAATCAATACAGGTTTTCCCCACCTACAGCTAGTAACAAATAAAACCAGAGTGCAAACTTGTCTCAGTACACCTAGAAGGAACTCATAGAGGTATCTGTATTAGCCGAGGGCTACTACCATCTCCCTATCACTGTGGTAAAGGGGAGTGAGATAAAGCTCATGCAAGAACAAATTACTCCTGTGGAGTACTAACCCCAACTCAGCACTCTCCACAACTTCTGTCAAAACTCAGGTGAAGACAACTGATACCTTACTCTTATCACAATGTACGTAAAGTCCTGGTGATCCACAGAAGCCAGGGTGGAGTTTTTTGAGCCACAGACTACCTACAGTGAGCCTGTATTCACAGGCCCCACAGTTGCAGACAGCCACCAAGTGCTTAGATAGTGCCTCTACAAAGAAGCTCCAGTGGAGGTGGGTGAGCCCGTAGTGATTCACAACTGCCATCCAGCAATAGGGACTCAAAGGTGGGCCAAATGACATCCTATCCTAGTCACAGAATGGTATCCTGGCAATATATATCAGCTGGGGTGGAGTCTTCCATACTACATTCTACCCACAGAAAGCCTGCATTCATAGACCCCCACAGCTGCAGATGGCTACCAAGCTCTATGCTGCTATAAAGAAGCTCCTGCAAAGGGGAACATTTTATTTTTGCTCAGTGTTCAGCAGTTGGAAATAGCCATACTCCCTGCATCCCACCCCACAAGAAACAGCCAGTAGATGCAGCATCCTCAAGCACGCAGACTTGGGCTTCTTGGCTGAGGAACAAGTGCTGGCTGATGAGAAAATCATAGCAACCAGGAAAGTAGCTTATGTGTCCCAGCACCTCTAGGATTGGCTACAGCTGTGAATCCTGGAATTGCTAGTTAATGTAATTCTAATTCAGATGTACCAACTGACAGAAGGCAATTCCCAAGAATAAAACTAAGCAACCAGCAGAGAATCTCACACATACACAATTGGCAGTACACCACAAAAAGTGGCTTACAGAGGACCATTCCACAGACACCAGTCCCCACCCTGTATGTTCAGATACAAGTCCACCAACGAATGACTCATTTATTCTAGAGGGGACACAGCCCTTCTCATGGATCACCCAGCACCACATCAAACAGACTATAATACCTCTATTTTAGATTGTCACACTACGCATTCTCTGAAGTATACATGGGGGAGCTCACAATGGATCTGACAGCACTGGATACATGGAGCTTTTATTCAGTAGGGCCAAATGACACCCTATCCTATCAGGAGGGCACAAAAGACTGCATCCCTAACAGCGAATAACCTGACTTCTAAAAAACAATTCGGGACCAGCTCTTCTGACTCAACAGAAAACTAGTAGGTACTTGGACCCACCAAAGATTGGAGGGGTCCTCCTGAAATTGTATCAGTGGTAAGCTGGTGTGATCACTACCTCTATATCCAGGTAAACTTAGAGGTGAAGGCATGGAGTGATTAGCCTCTTCTTTCTATAAGTCCCAAATTCTGAGGAAATCTCAATCAGGAAGACTCAATAAGAGATGCCTCCACCTCAGCATAGATTGTCATAAATAGCTTTAATATCAATTTTAATCTTAAGATATTACCTTTTGTATTGAATTGATAGATGTTCTCTTATTATTAAAAATGCAGCCTTCAACCTATTTAATGAATTTCTAGTTAATGATTCTAGGTATTAACTAGAATCATTCTTTGTTTTCCTAGCTCAGTTTTACACTTGCTTTTTTTAGTCTTTCTTTTCTCTCTTACATTATGTGTTTCTACTTCAGTACTCCATTTTTACTCTTATATATATTAGTTTGTATTTTTTTTATATCTTTTATCTTCCTTTATTGGCTCATTTTTCTCTTCTCCCTTTTCAACCCCTGTGAAGAATAATAGTAATTTTACTTATTTTTAATAATTATTTTCTCAACCTATTTGAGAACATTGCTACAATTTTATACCTAAATTAGAGGAACTGTGGAAAGTATTTTCAATAAGGTTCCCCCCCAATGTTTATTAATACATTGATTTTCTCTGAAGTGATTGTGGTTAATAGAGTTTAGTATCTTATCTTGGAATGTACTGATACCAGACACAGCAGAAGATACACATTGAGTGGGAGTATCAAACTTGAATATTTAACCAACCTGAAGCATTTAAGAGGAAGAAGTTCACTAAATAGTCTCTTGCATAAAAGAAGTGATAATCATTGCATCAGATGTGTAGACTTACGAACAATATGAAGAGGCAAGAGAATAAGCTATTCAAATAGCCTACAATACTTCAACACCTGATCCCATTGACTCAGTGTCAAATGTCTCACAAATATATGAAATAATATTCAACATATGAAAAAATGTCCAGCATCATTAGTGAAGTGATGTTTTATATGTGAAAGCTAGAGAGAAAAACGGAAGAGAAATCTGTGTGTGGGGGTCTCATGAAAATTGAGGGAGATTAGTAGAGTAGAGGAAAGGAACTAGAGGGAGTTAGGAGGAGAGGAAAAGGGAAAATACTGGGGAATGATATTGGCCAAATTATATTGTCTATGATGTGCATGTAAGGATATGTAATAACAAATCCCACAATTATGTACAACTGTAGTGTACTAATAAAAATATATAAAAAGTTAAATCATGAGGGTCAAACACTCATAGATGTATTAGAGCCCAAATAGAAGGTTCACTCTCTTTTGCTCTTCTTTATGTGAGGACACAATGTTCACCCATTTTTGCCCTTCCACCTTCCACCATATGAGGACACGGTGTTTATTCCTTCTTGAAAATGTTGCCTTCAAAGTGCCATCTTGAAAGCTCATCAGCCACTAAACCTCCTAAGACACCAAACCTGCCAATGCCTTGATCTTGGGCTTCCTAGCTTCAAAAACTGTGAGAAATAAATATCTATTCTTATATATTACCCAGTCTTAGAATTTTGTTATTGCAGCATTAATGGATTAAGATACAAACTTTTCTCATTGTCAGTCATGGAACACTAAGATATTGTGCCTAGATTCATATTTTTCTTTCTTCAAAGATATTCAGTGGGTTAATTAAGAAGTAAAGCATTCTATATTCCAGTGTATTTAAAGTTGAAGGTTTTAAGCTTTAATTTTCAGGAATATCTTTATGAGCATTAAATTATGGTGAATCATTTTCATTACCTTTTGTACATCTTGCTTTCGTCCCTTAGTGGGTCTCAAGTTTTAGTTGAAATTTATTGATTAGAGTCTAAATTTTTCTCAAAATTATCAACTTATACTTTCAGGTTTAACAATTGAACCTGAAAAATGCATCTGTGTTTTTTACATCATCATTTTATTAATAAAATTAGCCATCTTAAGGACAAATTATACAGCTTCAACTAGAATATTAAAATCATCACAAACTTTAAAGTGTTGATTTGTGTATCCTCTTTTATAAAAAAATAGTGAAATTTCTAAACACTTGTCAACAAGGGTTAGATTTTCTCTGATTTTACTTCCTAACTAACCACAAGCTATATTAGTAAAAAATAAAACTGCATAATTATTTAATCCTCTCTTTATACTGATAAAACAGATAATCATATGCAAAAGTCAATAGTAATAAGCATTAAACCAAATAATTAACTTTTGTTATAGGTTTATACCAATCAATTTCCCTTTGCTTTCTCTAATATTGCTCAAGGCAAGGGAGTTTTATGTTTGTTGTAATGTAGAAAGTCCTTATTGAGGATAATGTGATGAATACTTTATTCCATTCCATTCCAATCCATTCCACTTCCATTTCATTCCATATACTTAGAATTTCAACTCATATATTTCAGTTTATACTGATACTGATGTAGGCTTCAGCCTCAAGAAGGCATATCTTGGCCATTTCTGAAACCAAGAAATATTTCCATGGAGAGAACTAGTTGCTATTCTTATTTTAAATAATCCCAAATGTCATAAAACTGCTCCAAAATGATCCTGGAAAGAACAGAGGTAAGCAAGAGGTATGAGGTCTTTATTCGATGGATTGAAAAGCATAGGACAAACACGAAATTTGTATTGAAAACATGCATAAATAACTAAAATAAAGTTAATGTAATTATATTAACCACTTTGTTTGAAGAATGGAAAACACTTGCTATTCAGAGATATTGAGGACCCAGATCATTTGGCTTATTAGAGGAAGAGTTGACGAGAATGTACATTTTTATTTGGGCCTCTTTTCACCAGTCTCAGAGCCTCAGGAAGACGAAAAACTTTCAAATACACACAATGAAAATAATTGCCATGTGATGTATTTATTAATGAGCAAAAACTCTAAATACAATCACCAGATTTCTTAGTTGTAGTGATAGAAAATAAAAATAACTCTATGTCCCAAGTTAACATTATTCCTATATTCCAAGCATATGATTTTTATTCTTCTGCCAACTAAAATTAGGGTTTATTTCCAGAGACAATTTTGTAAATTTGGCACTAGGGCAGTAAGGTTTACTTTTAAACACATTCAAATGTGTGACTAAATTAAAAAGAATTCTACTGTCAAGCACATCTTATATTGACTTAATGTGTATTAATTGAATTAATAGTGAATTTTTATATGTCACTTGTGTATATACAACAAACTCTTCTGTGGTTCACAGAAGCTAGAATCAAATACCTTAGATATAAATTAAATTAGATGTAATATAGTCAGTGTCAATCATAAGGCTTAAACAATTACATGCTCTTAAAAATGAAGTGCTGGAGTGTTGGTTTGTGCTTGGCTGCCAGATTTCATTTTTCATTCTTTTCAAATCTTTCCCTTTTTCTAGCTCACATTTTGTGGAGTGGAATTTTATTTAAAACTTATAATGATTATGTAAAGGATTTAGTCCTTAATTGGCAATATAATAACATAACTATGTATATATAGATGAATATAAATGGAAATATAAAAGATAGATATAAAGATAAATCATATATGTATCAATATATTGATATTTAGATGTTTTGTTCAGGTAGAAAGAGTTTTATCTATTTATGGTTGGTGGTACAAAGTAATGATGATAGTTTCCAACATTTAGGGGAGTGAATGGTAGATGACCTACACAATTTGTCCTTTTTATCTAAAGATTTTCCTGTTCCCTCAGTAGGTCCTAAAATGTGATCTTGAATCCTAGATGTGAAATTGGTTTATGAGATAGAAGTGGTTTGTGACATTAATAGGTCATGTGGAAAAATAGTTTGATTCAAGGATTAGTGATAATACTTAGAAATTTAAGTGATATTATAAGTTCATTTTGGGATTCATGGTAAAATTAAAGATGAAAGTTCTATACTCATAAATCATGTTTTATAATTGACAGAACACTACACAATGTATGATGTACTACTGAATCCTTTCTAAATGATCAAAAATACTATTAAACCAATATCGTAAGCCTGCAAGAAATTTAAGATATATATTTTTATTGGGAGATGAAGTTGGTTGTGTGACAGTAACAGTTTGACTAGTGGTTGGCGGAGTAGTCTGGGGTCTGGTGCAGCTGTAGTTTCAGAAGTTTCAGGTGCAACAGTGTCTGGGGAAGAATTAGGTGTGGCATGTGAGACATCTGTTATCTCTGGTGAAGCTGAAGAAGGTTGTGGTGTTGTAGCTGGGAAAGATGTAGGTTGGGCAGCTGTTGTCTCTTGCAGAGCTGAAGAAGGTTGTGGTGTTGTTGTAGCTGGGAAAGATGTAGGTGGGGCAGCTGTAGTCTCTGGCAGAGCTGAAGAAGGTTGTGGAGTTGATGTAGTTGGGAATGATGTAGGTTGGGCAGCTGTTGTCTCTGGCAGAGCTGAAGAAGGTTGTGGAGTTGTTGTAGCTGGGAAAGATGTAGGTGGGGCAGCTGTGGTCTCTGGTAGAGCTGAAGAAGGTTGTGATGTTGGTGTAGTTACAGAAGAGCCAGTCGTGATATTTTCTCTTGCAGATGTAGTAACAGCATTCTGAGTGGGAAGACTCACACCTGAAGTGGTAGTAATTTTGGTGGAAGGAGATATGGAATTCAAAGATGGTATTTGGGTGGTGGTCTCTGAATTGTTATTGTTGACCACAGTGTTATTTTTGACTGAACACTTAGTATGTGAATGTGCAGGCCTATACTTAGATAACTTGTGTAGAAGAACATAATACTTTTTACTGAGTTGATTCTGGTGGGATGGTAATCCAGAACAATGTGGTAATTTGTGAAGGTTAGGTGACTGTTGAATATGTGTTTTGTGATGTGATTTGTGATTCTTTCTTCCACTTTCACTGAACTGCAGAAAAGAAAGTTCAAAGAGTTAAAAAGTCCATTGATCTATCAACTAAAGTTTCATTGTTGACCATAGAATAACAGTATTTGTGAAGTTTTAGGATTAGATCGAGTGATTAGTTTGCTAATTTCACTCAGCCTCACATTTCACTAGCTCACTCTCCCCCTTTCAAGTGATCACTAAGGATACTAAGAAGAATGCCCAGGTCTTGGAGGAGCATGTTTGAAACATTGCCAAAGTTTGGATCTGTCTTGTGCCCACCCTTAAATAACTGACTAGATAAGTCACATAATCTGATTAGATCTTTGTCTACTCATTTATGAAACAATTCAAATTAAACTTCATACCCAAGTCTCATTCTATGACCTCAATACTTTAAAATATTTATGCTGTTAATTTTCTTTTCAGATGGTCTGCTTCATGAGGGAAGGATTTTGTTTTGTCATCTCTGTATGCCCAATTCCTAGAACAATGGATGGTAGGCAAACAGCAGATACTCACTAGATATTTATTGAATGAAGGAGCGCATAAAATTGATAATGACTAATAAATAAATTTATTATTAAATTTCTTTTTGAATAAAATCTTAGCATTTAATAATATTTTACTTATGTTGTAAAATAGTTTCAGCTAAAAATGGCCAAATAATACCTATGGCAATTTTAGATGAAAACAAATTAATTAAAATACTATAAATTATGTTAGTTTACTATAGAACCTATGTCAAATAACCAGTTTGACTGATTTACTTAAAATATATTAATAATTATTAATCAATTATTATTGTTAGTTACAAATAGCCATAATAGATAGAACTTGTTAATTGAATTGAATCTAGGGAAATTTGAGAAGGGAAAGCATATAAGGGAAAGCATGTCTCTTAGGTTCTGAGTTTAGATGACTGAAGTGTACAGCAGTTATAGTAAGTATAAATGTGCTAGGAAGAACACATTAACTATATTGATCTTTAACTGCCTGTTGCTATCTGTGATTTATTTTTATTAAAAATCCTCATATATAACACTTACTTTTTGTCAGGCCCAATTCTAAATGCAAGTTTATTTAGTTCCTTAGCTACATCATAGTGGATGCTATTATTATCTTTATTATATAGATGAGGAAACTGAGTTCCAGAGAAATTAAGTTAAGAGAATATGTCTCTGTATGCAAACTGCACTTTTAATGGCAGAGGAGTGGGAGAAAATGAGAGGAAGTAGAGAGTTGGGTGCAGTCAAGGGAGGCGGGAAGGGAGACAGACACATGACACTTGGAGCCAGAAAGAGTTGGTAGAAGGAAGCAGCAGATTGTTAAAATAATAGGAGTAATGCAAACTCTTCTAAGAAAGGAAAAGGAGGCAAAAATTAGTCATGAAAGAAAAAGAATCAGAATGGAAGAGGACTAGAAGAGTGCAAGGTCAAGATGACATATACTTGAAACTAGAAAGCACATTAAATTTCTGCATTTGATGTTACTAGCCTATTTTTATCGCCATTTGAAAACCTGTAATCAATTTCTAGTGAAGAAGGAAGCAGCATGTTAAATGTTATATTTAACAAACTCCAGAATATATCCCCTCAATCTTTCTTTGAGGCATCTGGAAAAGAGGAGCCACATTATCCACTCTCTGAAATCATTCCACATGTCATTTGTTGCTAGAACTTTGGGCTGATCTTTGGCTGTGGGTTGCTGTCACTTCTGCTATATCACTGTATGTTCTGAGGATTCAACAAATCAATTCTGTGCTACCTTTTTATATATTCAAGTTATTTGGAAACTCTTTCTCTATAAACTTTCTGATATTTGGACAGTTTGAAGAGTTTTATTTAACCTGAGCTTGGGAAAAGGATGATTCATTAGATATTTGGATTTGTGGGAAGCACCAGAAAGGGCCTCCTCAAAATAACAACCCAGATTTTGTAATTCTACAATAAAATAATGATTTGTGTTGATTGGAGTGCCACCATTTCTTTTAATATAGAAGTATTTGATATCTAGGAGTTTCTTATTAAATGTAAACTTATTAAAAAGTGGATATAATTGTACATATTCAGACCTTATAGCCTTATCAACTAGTATATAAATAGAGATCATATTATTTTTATATGTAAAGCATATTTTGTTATTACTATTTTGTACATAGGGAAATTGGAGCTCTATAAACAGATTTTAATTTGCTGAAGATTAATTTGGATGGTCAGTTTAGACATGAGCTTAATTTGACATTTTCTGAGCTCAGTTGAATACTCTTTCTGTTATAATTACAGAAATGAGCATTAGGATTTAGGGGGAAAGATTAAGAAGGTTTTGGGTGGGGGGAGAGAATTATGTGATAAATGGGAATTATGAGATTATCCAAGAGTAAATTTTACCCACTCTATCAGCTCCCCTCCCTCCTCTATGTTTTTACTACCATCATAATATTCTGGGGTTTTCCTTCTTTATTCAGTAAATAAACATACAGTAAATGTTTTCATCTACTTAAAAGTATATAGTCTTAGAGAGAAATATGGTTAGGGCTGGAGATATAGATCTATTGTGACAGTGTTTGCCTCACATTCACAAGGCCCTGGGTTCAATCCCCAGCACTATACACACAAAGAGAGAGAGAGAGAGAGAGAGAGAGAGAGAGAGAGAGAGAGAGAGAGAGATTATTGTAGAATATATCACCAGGGATCATTATTAATTTTAATCTTGCTTTCCCTGTAGATTCTAAATACAGGGTCCACTTTGTATTCTTCTTTTAGTTTTGGAAACCATACATTCCTGTCCCATTTTGTGGTTCCTTCATTTTCTTTATCCATTCTAAAATTCCTATGATTTCTCCCTAGGTGATCTTGTAGGATTTCATAACTTTAAATATATTTAAACTATGGACTTTACCTTTGATTTCTTTCTGAAATTCATAAAATGTATATCCAAGTGCCTTCTTGACATCTTAATATACAAGTCTAATAGCCATTTTTAATTTAACATCTAAAAGAGGACTCCTTGTTCATTTCTTTCTTTTATCACATACCTAAGCCATCAGAAGGTATAGTAGACTCAGTTGCCAAAATATATATATAAATATACCCTCATCTTTTATATTAAGTGCTGATAGTTAGTGCAAATCTCCATTGTCTTTTATCTGGACCGCTACCATATCTTTCTGACTAGTTTCTTGATCTCAATTTTTGTCCCCTGCCATCTGTTTTCTCCCTAGAATCCTGAGTTATGTAATACTCTGGGAGCATCATCCCAAGGTTTCCTGACATACTTAAATCAAAACCCCATATTCCACATCAAGGCCTAAAGGCCTGTAAGATCTGTTTTCTGCATCGCTGAAAGAGCTTACCACACTCATTATAAAGTTGGTACTCTATAGATATTGATGAAATGAAATTGTTTACTTGTGTTTAATGAAATATTTTCTTTTGTTTCACAGAAAACAATATAGTTTGAGCTTTTGAACATATAAATTGCCTGCGACACTTTTTAAAAATTTCTTTGATTTCACTTTATTTGTTATTTATTTTATCTGACACATAAAAATGTAAAAATTGTACATATTGTGGGGAGGGGGCTAGGGAAGAATACAGTTACTTTAGATTAGGTAGAGGGGAGTGATGAGAGGGGAGAGAGTATGGGGGTAGGAAGGAAAATAGAATGAATCAGACATTATTACCCTATGACGGGTGGGATTCTACATCATGTATAACCAGAAGAATGAGAAATTATACTCCATTATATATGATGTACCAAAGTGTATTCTACTGTCATGTATAACTAATTAAAACAAATAAAAAAATTAAAAGAAAGAATAAGAAAAAATGTACATATTAATGGGTACCATGCAATATTGATACCTTAATACATGCATATATCAATTATTGTTTAAATTGAGGTAAATATATTTGTCTCGTCAAACATTTGTTATTTCTTTGTGGTGGAAACATTCAAAATCCTTCCCTGTAGCTTTTTGAAATAAATAGTACATAATTGTTATCTAGAGTCATCTTCATTGTGCAACAGCATGCTAGAACTTCTTGGTCCTATCTAACTGTAACTCTTTTTTTAAAAAAAATTTGTTTTAATTAGTTACACATGACAGTACAATGATCTTAAGTCTACATGCTAAATATTTGTTATTGACACATGAGGTGGATACTTACTGGGAAGCAAGCACTCAGCACAAAGATGCATACAAGCAGTGATAGTTTTCATCTTTTTTTACTGGCTCTTGGGAAAAGCAGAAAAGTGGTTCAGTGTTAGCTATAATTTTGTGAAAGAAGGGTGAACTTTCTTAAATGACTTATATTATTAAAATTACATATATATTTTTACTCCAGAGTGGTGAGGCAAAATTGCTTTAAGTCTAAAATGCATTCTTTGAGAGAGGAAGCATTGGAGGAGAGACAAAAGAATTATTCTTATCACTAATTTGCAGCATAGATCTTTTCTATTGATAATAGAGATTACCTAGGAAAGTCAGGATCTTAGTAAGTTTAGCAATAAGAGAAGGAAATAGTTTTCTTTTTATTTGTATAATGAGTCAAGAAATCATCTTGTTTAGAGAACTATATAAACTATTTGGTACTTACTACACATAGATTTATAAATGTTTGTTGGAATGTTCTTATATGCAAAGATGTTTCTTGACTGTGGTATGAGGCTATTACTTAGAACAAAAAAACCATATAAAACACACTTTTCTTCAAGCATTATTCTCCTGAAAGTTTTGCCATTTGATGCCTTTTTTTTTAAATGCCCAAAGGACAAGATAATGTTGTTTTATTAATTTTTATGTAATCATATCTAATACATAGTATAGTCTTAAAATATTGTTTGAATAACTACTTCCGAAGATAATTGTACTTTTGGCAATAGGTTGTAGGAAGAAAGATAAAAGGAAGGATGTGACCTTTTATTTTTCTTATTGTGATCATGAGCACAGTGTGTACATATCAGCTTGTCACCTTTAAAAATGTTCCCATTAATCATATTTTCATCTATTAATAGACAAGTTTGATCTGTTATCACTTAGTTTAGCAGTTCACAAGAGGAGAGGGGAATAACTGTATTAGACCAATTATTGTTATTACTCAATGAAAATATGTAACTTGAAATTGGCTTATTTTACATTGGAATATATCTCCACATACCTGATATTGTGTGAAACTTTGTCCTCAGGATGTTCAATCCAATTCCTTGCCTTCATATGACCCTTTCAGGATGGTAACTGGAAGAAAAGGGACAAAGCAAAGAGAATTTTCAGGTTTTATAACTCTCTTGTTTCGATTTTTTAGATTTAGGAAATTTATTGGATTTAGGATAAGGTCATTTCTATCAAGGAACTTGCTTTTAAAGACAAAGAATAGTTGTGATTTTATGGGGGTGACAGTGGTCCTTTGTACATCCACTTCTTCCTGATGAAGATGGTGACAATGGGAGATTCTCAATGAATAATATACTTGATTGATGAGAAGCATGATAGTGATTGATGATACTAATTGAGATACCAATAACCATGGCCCAAGCTTCCGAGCAGGAACAGATTTTCCAGTCTTCCTTTTGGCCTAGGTAAACAGTGATTGCCTTCTGACTGTTAATGTGACAGAACACCATTTTCCGTCTATCAATCAGTACAAATTAGCAAAGGTCAGAGAATTAGGAAAACAAAACAAAACAAAACCCAGTGTCAAATACTGGTAAAAGTAAAATTTCTTTAAAATTGAGAAATAAACGTTAAATTCTTTAATAGGAGAAATTTGAAAAATTTGAACTACTTTTTGAATTCACACATCCTGAAAGGCAAAGAGCAAAGTAAAATGTTACTATTGTTAACGTTTTCTACGTTCTGAATGGATTATTTTGTTGAAGTATTTTAATGTAAATTACAAAAATCATGATAATTAATATCTTTTATTCCAGCATTTATTACTAAAAACTTTCATAATGCACCATCAACCTCTAATATGAATAATTCACACAAATGGTAATCTTAAATTTAATCATAAATTCCCAGTTTTGCCAAAAATACTTTTGGTCAGTTTGTTCTAATTAAGAACCCCCTCCTCCCAAGGACTGTTACTTTCTTTTATATTAGACATTTTCATGTCTGTTTCTCCATGATATTGATAATTTAAATGACTAGACAAATTGTCATATAAATACTTACTTTTAGGAAAAAGACTTAAGAACCATTTTATGCAGGTTTCAAAATTAGAAACTGGAAATTAAGAATTTCTCCTATGTAAAATTTTCAACCTGGATTGCAATTTTAAAGTTATGATTTCACTTCATGATTACATCTCGCCATTTGTTCTTTTGCACACATGGTCTCTAAGAGCAGGTTCAGAAGTTTTATTCTTTGGGTTTGATTCTCTGTTTCTTTGATTAGTAGCTATGTAATATTTAGCAAATTATCTCACTTTAATGAGCCTCAGTTTTCTATTTGAAAAGTAGGGGTTGTACCTACTTTATGAAGTTATTGTGAATAGAAAATTAGATAATTTAGAGGGTCTGACAAAGTGCCTGTAAATTAGAAACTATCAGCTGTTATACTGCCAAGAACTGAGCTAGTAGATAGGGGTTATAATACCAATTTCTTTTTTTATTTTTGTTAATTACTATAGATACTCATTTTCTATGTGCTTGTTACAGTCAAAATTGTGGAAGATAATTTTTACTGATGTAAAGCAAGCTTTTTTGAGTATATAGTTGCATTAAAAATTTTTCAAATCACCTTGTTATTGACTATTTAGTGATGATTTGTAATGATTTGAAAGAATTGATAGGATTTCCAGAAATGTGTGATTTTACCCAGTCCTAACTCATAATTGGAAATAACAGAGTAATTTATTTTATTTTATTTATGTTTCTTTTTTTTTAATTAGAGCTTTATAGTTATACATAGTAATTGGGTTCATCCCAACAAACTCATACATCATGGAAATCAATTTCAGTTCATGATAACCCTCTTTCCTTCTCCCTTTTCCCTCCTGTCCCTACTTACCTCTTCCGTTCTCTTTCCTTTGTTGCACTAGTCTTTCACTCAAATATTAATTTATATTTGATGGTTCTTTATGTTATCCTACTCTTTCCTCCTCCTTTCCTTTATTGTACTCTATCTTCTGCAGATGAGAGAAAACATTCAACCTTTGAGTTTCTGAGTTTGGCTAATTACACTTAGCATGATATTCTCCATTTCTACCCATTTGCTAGCACATGCCGTAATTTCATCATTATTATTATTTTTGTCTGAGTAGAATTCCATTGTGTGTGTTTGTGTGTGTGTGTGTGTGTATCACAATTTCTTAATCCATCATCTATTGACAGACATTTGAGTTGATTCCATAATTTAGCTATCACAATAATTACAGGTCTTGGGCTGGGGTTGTGGTTCAGTGGTAGAGTGTTCGCCTAGCACATGTGAGGCCCTGGGTTCAATCCTCTGCACCACATAAAAATAAATAAATAAAATAAAGGTATTGTATCCAACTACAGTTAAACATAAATATTTAAAAAAATAATTAACAGCTCTTTTTCCTCTCCTCATTGTGCTGCTATAAACATTAATGTGTCTGTCACACTATATTATGCTGATTTTAGATCTTTTGGGAAAATACCAAGGAGTGGTACAGCTGGTTCAGATGGTGACTCCATTCCTAGTTTTTTGAGGAATCTCTATACTCCTTTCAAGATTGGTTGTATATTCTGCAGTCCCACTAGGATTGTTTAAGTGAAACTTTTCCCCCAAACCTCATCAGCATTTGTTTTTGTTCATATTCTTGATTATTGCCATTCTGACTAGACTCTTTCTTAGTGTAGTTTTGATTTGCATTTCTCTGATTGCTAGAAATGTTAAACATTTTGCATGTACTTACTGATCATTTGTGTTTCTTTTTTAAAAAATTATTAGCTACACATCCATTTGTGTTTCTTTTGAGAAGTTTCTGTTTAGTTCTTTTGCCCATTTATTGACTGGGTTATCATTATCATTATTTTTTGGTGTTAAGTTTTTGAGTTCTTTGTATAATGTGGATATCAATCCCCTATTGGAGAAGTAGTTGGCCAAGATTTTCTTCCATTCTGTAGGCTGTCCTGATGCTCTTATTCCTTTACTGTGTAAAAGATTTTTAGTTGAGTGGCACACCACTTATTGATTCTTGGTTTTATTTCTTGAACTTTAGGAGTTTTGTTAAGGAAGTCAGTGCCAACACCTATATGATAGAGTGTTGATCCTGTATTTTCTTTTAGCAGTTGTACAGTTTCTGGTTTAATTCCTAAGTCTTTGATCCATTACAATTTGACTTTTGTGCAGGGTGAGAGATAGGGGTCTAATTTCATTTTTCTTCATATACCTATCTAGTTTTCTCAGCACTAATTTGTTAAAAAATGCTTTCTTTTCTCCAAGATATACTTTTGGCACCTTTGTCAAATATCAGATGGCTATCGTATGTGGATTTGTCTCTGTGTCTTCTGCTGTATTCTTTTGGTCTTCATATCTATTTTGATGCCATTACCATGCTGTTTCTGTCACTAAAGTTCTGTATATAATTTCAGATCAGGCAGTATGATGCCTCCTGCTTTCCTTTCCTTGCTTAGTATTGCTTTGGCTATTCTAGGCCTCTTATTCTTCCAAATGAATTTAAATTTTTTTTTTCTAATTTTGTGAGGAATTCGATTGGCATTTGGATGGAGATTGCATTGTATCTGTATATTGCTTTACAGATTAATTTTTGTAAATCTTGGAAAAAACATAAAAGTGCCTAGGCATATTGTAACTCAATGCAGTGTCTTTCAGGTTTATTTTTCACTAAATAATGGGTAACATTTATTCTTTTAATTATTCATCAGTGTTGGGGCCCCTTGGAGTTTTAGGGACTCATAGTTGGGCACATATGTCTTGACATATGGAAATGATATGTATGAAATGACTGGCCTACAGACCACAGATCACCATTATGTCATATTTTAAATAGTACTGGGCTTTGTAATGTGAGACATGACATAATAACCTCACAGGAAACCATAAATTGAGTTCTGATTTTCTGGATCAGAAAAATTACAGCTGTTTTTGCTCTCTTCATTACACCCATCACCTCCACACCAAAATGCTTGATAGTTGAAAAACAAAAACTAAAAGAAAAAGAAATATATCTGATTCAGGCAAAACCAGAGCTTGGTTGGTTAATTGAAAAGTCTGTTACAGTAGACTTTGTAGTAGAAGGCTTTTGACAACCTGCTTCCTACCTGATCCTTTAGCCCCATGGATTTTTCAGATTCTTTTATGTTTTCTAATTCCTCTGTAAAGTACTATTAGGATATGGAGAATATAAATTATTTCAGTTGATCAAGACAGCTTTCATGATATCCATATTTAGATTTAAAAGAAACATTTGAATTAAATGTTCTGTTATTTCTAACTTGTGTGTTGACTTTCTTTGGGGTTTTGAGGTCTTTGCAGAATGAGAGAGTCTATGGAATCCACTTCCAGGCTTGAGAAATAATTTGGAGTTATGGGTAGGAGAACTTGACAATTTATCAACAGAACGTTGGCCTGAAAAATGTCTCAGCCTTAATTAGTCTTGGCAGTTACCATATGATTTAATTTATGTCTATATATGAAAGAAAAAAGAAAATGGATATGAGTCTTCTTTAGGTTTTTATTTCCTATGATTTATTTCACTATATTATCAGTCTTAATATCTTAAATGTGCCTACATCCTTTTCATTTTCAAAATCCTTTCATATAGTTCATAGCTATTAGTGATTTAGGTTATACAAGAAAGTATAATTCTGAATATTACACTTGAAGTTACTAACCTATTTTTATTACCACTTAAAAACCTGGAATTCATTTCTAATAAAGATGATTTCAATTTCAAGATTTCACCTGTATCATTCCCTCTTGGCTTGGGTTCAGTAAAGTGTAAGTTAATTTGCAAATCTTATATTTCTTTATTAGAACTCTGTTATTTTTAAAGAGTTTATTATCTGACTCCAGAATTTATCCCCTCAGTCTTTATTTGGGACATCTGGAAGACAGGAGCAAGGTTTGCTAATATGACACAGACATAGCTATGCTAACAATGGATAATGGTGATATGGAAATCTTAATAATATTTCCTCTAAGTTTGTTGATTTGGATAAGGTTAGATAAATAGTTTGTACTTTCCAGGAAAATGACTCATTTGGTATTTTCCATTTCTCCCACTTATGTCAGCTTGTCAGTCATTCTTTGTTACCACTATAACTTTGTATTGGCTGTGTACCTCTGGCTTCAATTTTCTTAAAGTGACCTTTTTTTTTTTTTTAAACTTAAAAACCTTTCCTTTCTCTCTCTTTCTTTTTTCAATTTCAGGATTTCACCTGTATCATTTCCTCTTGGCTTGGGTTCAGTAAAGCGTAAGTTAATTTGCAAATCTTAAAGGGTAAACAGAGAGTTCTATGTCTTTCTATTGAGTAAGGTTCTTCTTCATTGGCAGCAAATACAATTATTTTTGTAATTGCCGTATCTGCCTCTAAAGTTATATGTCTACTTTAAAGATGGCATTTTGATTTACAATAGGAGGAAAGACTTAGGATAAGAAAGTTTGTAATGTTGTGAACAACCAATAAAA